CATGAAGCAATATATACAACATTTTATTTTTTAAAGGTTCTGGTTTCAAATATTCTGCTTTGCCAGCCCAGAAAACTTAAAAAGGGGACAGTTACACAGAAAGAGCGAGACTTATAAGCTGTTCTGCCCAGTTTGCCACCCAAGAGATGCTCTACTGAATGCCTAGCTCACACTCTTTTAAAAAACAATATCTTCTGTAAGCAGGCACCTCACAGTTTGGAAGCACTGTCCCTATTACTATATATGAACTTTTGCTCCATTAACTTAAATTTCATTTTGGTTTTAATTTTGCTGGGTTTCCTGAAACGGGGTGGGGCTTCTAGGCACAAGGAAAGCGAATTTAAAGAGGAGGGCTTCGAAAGCAGTAGCTGAATTAGCACAACACAGAGCACATACAGATGTGCACATCAGATATGCAGAACTTCAAAGAAAAGAAAGCAGCACTTCCTATATTTAAGCCATGGATCAACTACGAAGCAATGCAATCCCAGAGCAGGGAGGAGACGTGGAAAACCAAACCTCATGATCTCTTTGCCTGACAAAACTTGGGGGAATAAGAGTACATGGGATGAGATGGTCCCTGGCGACAAGTTGGAATGGCATGAATTCAAGTATGAGTTGGCATCTCAGTCTTCCTGACTCACAGAGTCAAGCGCAGCATGTCCTGGGAGAACACTGTGCTTGTCAGGGAGCTGGCAGGTGGCTCTTAGCTTTTTACCCTGAGCTCTTAACCTTTTACGCTGGGTCAGCAGTTAAGAGCTCAGCTCCTACTGGACAGACTTGAACCAATCTCCCCAGTGTATCTGCACCTCCATAAATGGAGTCAGAACAAAGCTTGAAAGGGGTGATTCCATCATCTCTGTTGCCTTGGTGGGAAGTACACACTAGGGCTTTCTAGGGAACGTGTGGAGGTCTGTGAAAAGGCTGCAGCCGCAGCAAAGGGAATGAGGCTGGAGAGACCACAGTAGGACTGGCCCACACAAGAAAGACCACCCCCACCCCCGGCCCAATTCTTCACTAAAAGTGGCAATGACTAAAATTAGAGCTCAAAGGTTCAAATCAGGGATTCAGAGATATCTTAGAATTTCTGACATCAGTAGAGCATGAGGAGAATATACAGTATTCTGTAGGTCTAAATCAGTGGTTCTCAACCTTCTGGCCCTTTAAGTACAATTCCTCATGTTGTGACCCAACCATAAAATTATTTTCGTTGCTACTTCATAACTGTAATGTTGCTACTGTTATGAATCGTAATGTAAATACCTGATATGCAGGATGATCTTAGGCGACCCCTGTGAAAGGGTCGTTCGACCGCCAAAGGGGCCGCGACCCACAGGTTGAGAACCACTGGACTCTAAATCGCTCTTGATGCTAATGACATCACAAACTGCCTTTATTGCTGTAGCCAAAAGAAAAGGTAGACTTCTTTTTTAAAAATTATTTATTTATTTTTTATTGCTTAAAGTATTACAAAGAGTATTACATATGTCTCCTTCCCCCCGCCCCCGCCCTTGACAATCCCCTGGCCTCCCCTACCCCCCAGTGTCTTATGTCCATTGGTTATGCTTATATGCATGCATACAAGTCAAAAGGTAGACTTCTGAGCCTTCTTCTGACACTGTAGACAAGTTAGCTAACCTTTCCTGATTGCAAAACAGGACTAATTCCATTCTAATTCCTAAGAAAGGATTGCGAGAGAAATGAAAAGAACTAATATCTATCTGCTGTTGAACTGTAGCTTAGTACCCCATGATCGTGGTATTGCAATTCCCACACTTAAGTACATTATTCAATTTTACATGATTATATCCTATTTTAAACTCACAGCCTAATAGTCCATCTCTTTTATACTTCCTGTCAGCTTTTCTCCTTCTTCATTCAATCATTTTAAATTTATCTCTGTAGTTTTTATTTGGAGACTTCGATATTCACTTTTTTGGAGAGGGCAATAATTGATATAATTAACACAGTTTTAAAGTGCAGAATCAAGTTCTGACTTCTGTAGATGAGGAAATAGTAACATTTTTAACATAATACAGACAAGCTCTGCTGTAATTAGTTTTCCATACATCTTTTGTATTGTTCTTGGTCACCAATGGAAATAATGAGCTAGCCTGGAGACAAAATCTAAATTCTTTAAAAATACCTCAAATCTCTTAGGCTGGAACAGGAAATACTCTTATAAGCAAACAGTAAACATTTGGAACCTTTTAGCTCCATGGAGTTAAACAGGGTGAAAATATAAATAGCTTCAGGAAGGTTTAGATATTATTCATGGATAAAAAGAATACATAAAAATAACAGTACCCTGTCCAGTGCTGGTAAGTGGTTAGAGCATTGACCTACACACCAAAGGGTGATCGGTAAGGGCACACACCTGGATTGCAGGCTTGTTCCTGACTCGGTCAGGGCATGCAGAAGGTAACCAATTGATATGTCTCTCACATAAATGTTTCTCTCTCTCTCTCTCTCTCTCTCTCTCTCTCTCTCTCTTTCTCTCTCCTTCTTCCCTCCATCCCTCCCATTCATTCTTATCTACAAATAATGAAAAAATATCCTCCGGTGAGGATTAACAAATAAAAAAAATAATAACAGCAAAAAATTTAAAATTTAGCAATACAAATGTTAATCAGGATGTGGAACAAAGGAAATTCTATGCACCACTGGTGGAAACGTAGTTTTGTTCAACAACTTTGGAAGACAAGTTAAAATTATGTTGTAAAGTGTATAGACACACACCTTATGACCAGTTCCATTCCCTGTATATATCCTAGACCAGTGATGGCAAACCTTTTGAGCTGGGCGTGTCAGCATTTTGAACACCCTAACTTAACTCTGGTGCCGTGTCACATGTAGAAATTTTTTGATATTTGCAACCACAGTAAAACAAAGATTTATATTTTTGATATTTGTTTTATATATTTAAATGCCATTTAACAAAGAAAAATCAACCAAAACAATGAGTTCGTGTGTCACCTCTGATACACGTGTCATAGTTCGCCATCACTGACCTAGACAAACCCTCCTAAATGTGCCTCAGAAGGCATATATGAAAATGTCCAGAAAGGAAATGTTCATCATAACAAAAAGGAATGACGTAAAAAACTGGAAAACCCCAAATATTCACAAAAAGAAAAGAGCTCTGAATATAAATGAACTTCTCTAAATGTAGACATATGGATGAGTCTTGCAAGCATGTTGACAAAAAAAGCAATTTACAAAACAAATTATATGTAGTGATACCATTTTTATACATCTCAAAAACATACAAATATTAAAAAAGTGTTCTTTTAGGGAACCATACATATGTGATAGTACTAATTTTAAAAGCAAGAGAATGATTAATACAAAAGTCAGAGCCTTGGTTTCTTCTGGAGGCAGATAAGCCAGAGGGTGGGATTGAGAAGGAAATACAAGTAACTTCCATTGGCCTGGTAATAATTTAATTTATGCTTCATAACTTATATGTACATTATATATATCCTTAGATACCTAATAATATTTGAGTGGGAAATGAAAATTCTTACTTCCCTAATCATCTAGATAGACTCTCATGCTTATTCTGAACATGTAATTTGGTACAAAACTCAGATGAAACAGAAGACAATTGATATGATCAAGGGTGCCTTTTCCTCAAAAAATAAAAATAAAAAATTTCTAATTTCCAAGTAATAAACGTGAAAATCCAGAAAAAAATATAAAGAAGAAAAATGTTTAGGTCATCTGAAGTTCCACAATCTAGATATAACCACTGATAACTTTTTGTTATATTTTCCTCCATTTTATTTTTTTCCATATGTAAAATTTGAAACAATATAGCATTTAAAAATTTGTTTTCTCACAAAGGTTTGGAATCTTGTTTCCCTGTAGACAGCAATGACATTATGTGTACATAGTATATTCATAGTCTAATATTCAGTCTTAAGTTCTATTATGTAAGTTGTCTGTATAAATGACAACTTAACTTTCAGCATTTCCCTCACTGGAACATTTAAGGAATTAGAGAAGGACAATCAAACTCAAGGTTTGCCAAATGTTTTTCACTGTAATTTTTAGCTTCTAAATCAATTATGGAAATTAGTATGCTAGGGTGGAAGGAATTTTTCTTTTGATGACCTGCTTTCTTAAACTCTGATCTCAACACAAGAATACATTTTTTCTGAAGGATTTTAAAAAGGGTGTTACATTATTTCTAATTTTTGAAACCACGGAAAATAGTCTTTTGCTAATTCATAATTTTAAAGGCAATTTTCCTATTCCTGACCATATTTACAAAAGAGTAATAGCAGGCTGTTTACATTTCCCCCATGTGTATTTTTAAAACCTTATTCCTTTAAGACTACCTCAACTTACCTTCTCATCAACTGCTGAGAGGATATACAGTGTTAGAGTTAGAAGATATTTCAATGCATCTTTATAGCTATAAGATATAAGAAGCTCTAAACATTTATAGTAGACTTTAAGGATTAAACTGCAAAATCTTATAGGAGCTGCAAAACTTCTTATGTCTCCCCCATGCTGGATTCTTAAAGTGTGGTTCTGATTCAGGAGATCTGGGGTGGGCCTGGACCTTTCTACAGGTGATTCAGAGGCCCAGGCAAGCATGGGAACTACTGCCCTAAGCTGAAAGACCTAAACCAATCAAAAACCAAAATAAAACTCTCTCTCCTTCAACCAGACCTGTGTTAGTGTGGGGGGGCAGATCAGTATTCCACTCCTATTTGTCAGTTTCTGAGAGACACAGCTGGGGTGATTTCTCTCCCACCTCATCCAGAGTAGTACCTGGTGAGTGGCAAAACCCTACCCCCTTCCAAAGACCACCACTTTTTGGGGGACAATGGCAGCACATCTCCCCTTCCCTCCCCCCCTTAAGAAAATACAAAATGCTTCAAGAGTCCATTGCTTCCAGGAAGTGCACAGTGAACATAAAGGAAATTCCAAGCTAAAGAAAATTGGGAGACGGGCCTGGAGAATGATTCATCTGCTTTTTTTGCTTTTGGCCGCGCACCATGGGAATCTGTTTATGAGGAGTATCTGCCACTGATCATCTTTTTCTCTTGGTTTGATATTAGTGGCTTTACAAAGAGGTCAGAACGGCTGTGTGAGGGAGAAGATAAGTGTGAGTCCATGGCAATCTCTACAAGTTACCAGTTGTCGCACTTCCTGTAAACCAGTTCGTATAGGAACATACCTTTAAAATAAATAAACAGGAGTAGGGAACAAAGGTGGAGCTGTCAACCAGGCATTGGAATTGATTTAGGAAAAAGCCAGCAACTTTCATTTAACCACTTTGGAAATGTTTATGCATTATCTCCCCCCATCCACAAAAGAAAACGCAGCCACAAGACAAATTGCTCTTTGAAAATTTCACAAGACATTAATAACCACAGCAACAATAGAACTTGTGCTAAAATTAAAGTTTAAGAAGCTTTAAAATATTTTTAGTACTTTTCATCTAAAATTGTTTAGACTACCTTCAGAGAAACTTTTCAACAGTTTCCTTACTGGCAAGCGTTGAGAAGCTTTGCAAGGCCAAGGTCACTAGAATGATTTGGTTTATAAGTTTCCTTTAAAAGAAAGCAAGAAGAGACAAAGAAGCAGCAACAAGCACTTGTCATCCAAAGAGGGCTGAAATGACAGAGTTTTGTGGAGAAGCGAAGTAGAGCTCACAGTAGAGGTTAGATCTTCCAACTTCACGTCTAGAAATCAGTTCTGTTAGATGTACCTGGGAGAAGTAGGTGCTTTTCAAATCTCCTTAGCAGCCAGCCAGTCCAATGGTCCTCAGCCAGCTAATCCAGGGAATATTTCAAAGTTGACCTGGGCCTACCCATGAAACCTCTTACAAAGGCCTGTAACAGGAAGCCACGAAAACGTAATAAGAGAAAATGCACCTGATTAAGTCGAGGAGCACTCGCCCGCCCTGGAATTACATAACAGCAGTTAAATTTTAAAAAGCGGGAAAGTACATGCATAACAGTCCTTGAATCTGAGTCCAGTTTAGACATCTGTTCATTTGATTAATCTTTCTGTGAAGGACTGAGCGCTCCAGAAAGAAGTAGCACGTTTTCAAGGAAGAGCCAGCATAACTGTGTCAATGGAATAGGTCGGAACCTTTGTGGGCAGCAGTTTCCCATCTCCTGTGTTCTTTTAGGCAAAATGAGCAGTGGTGGGTGTTTCCAGTGGGCGGCTATGGCTTGAAGGGGTATCCTAAGCGGGCAGTCTATGCCCATTCAAAATGGCAACAAGCCCTTCCTGCGTTAAACTGTTGCCCTCATGAGCTTTTTGGCCAAACTGGAGATGGAATGGCCTGTTGGAAGAGGTGTAGTAGAACATGGGACTGAAACTGAAGCTAAGGCTTTCCATTCCAGGGTGCTGGTCGCTCACTGGGTGACATTGGGAAGGTAAGTCTTCCTGGGCCTCATTCTCCTGGTTACAGAAGAAAATGGAAGTTCTGTGTCAAAGAAACAGGGAGATAGGCGCCCACGGGAGAGGAGGCATTGCTGACCTGGATGGACCCTGCCTGACTCAGCACTGTGACAGGAATCCCTGCTAGGAGTTGTTAGGAGGGGGAGCACAGAGCTCCCTAAAACACAGGGAGATTTAGTGTATTTATAGCAGGGGCTATTCGCCTAAAGCCCTAACACAGGGAGATTTTACAGTGACCTGACCAGGGCTTGAGCCCAAGATTCTCTGTTACAGGAAAGCCTCTTCAAATGACGTAGAGGAGAGGGAAAGATATTCATTTAGGGAGCCTGGGATGCAGGTCACCATAGAAAGGTTCAGGTAACATTATGCAGGCGGAACTGTGGAGGGTGGACCTTCCCAGGCACAAACCACATCGAAATGTGCTCAGGATCGTAGCTGAGGATTTTGCAATCGTTTGTTCCAACAACAAACCAATGCGATTTCCACACTTGCACTTGTTTTTTACTGTCAGCAAGGTGAAGTCCTGGCCTGTTAGCACCAAATCCACAGCCAAGGTCTTGAAGACTCTAAATTTACACCTCTATATATTTTAAATTGGAAGAGGGAGTGCAAGGGTGCACAGCTGGCTTTTTTGGGGGTCGGGGGGTGGGGGAAAGTGGGGCCTTAGTCAGCGGCTAGTTAGGAATGTAGGAAGTCATGTTGCCCCAAATCTGCTAGAGCAATGTCTGATTCTAAAGTAAGGAAATACAAGAGAGCTTGAAGCTTGTAATGGACCTGATCTCTTGACTTTATAGTGTACTTTATTGTATGTTAACATATTTTTATTGATTTCAGAGAACCTGAAATATGGTGGAGGGGGAAGGGGGCGCCAGGGAGCCGGGAAGGCGGGGTGCGGCGGTAGGAGTGATGCAGAATATTTCATATTTCAGGTTCTATTCCATATTTCAGGTTCTCTGAAATAGAGGGAGGGAGGGAAGAAGGGAGAGAGAGAGAGAGAGAGAGAGAGAGAGAGAGAGAGAGAGAGAGAGAGAGAGAG